AGAATAGAAATTTTAGAATAGTGATTGATGTGAGAATGTGTGGTGAAAAAGTGATGAAAAGTTTTTGATTTGTGTGTAATATTATTTTATTTGGAGAATGTGTGGTTGAAATGAAGAATGAGAATGAGAATGGAAATGAGAATGAGAAATTAATGGGTGCCAAACGGGGGCTAAATAAGTTAATTATTTTATTTTTTTTAAATAAATTTGCCAACTAATTAATTGAGTTCAAAAATATTTTTTTTTTGTTTCATTTGTCAATTAATTAATTGAACCCAATTTCATGTTTTCAAAGAATCAAAATTGAGTGATCTAAGTTTTTCTCAATCATTCTGTCGTTTCTCAAATAATCGAAACTGAGCGACTGGGCCCTTTTCATATTACCATTTTATTTTGCCATATTCCTTGAATTTTCTCTACTTTGATCAAGATAAATTATATACATTGGTGAATAAATATTATTAGACAACTTGTTATTTGTATATTTTTAAATTAGACTACGTTATTTTGTAAGATTTAATGAAGTGTTGTTGTAAGAGCTAAGATTAAATATGTCTTTTGTTGAATTAATGTAATGTTGTCAATGTTAAGAAATTTGATTATGGGATATAGCTGGAATCGAACAAAACCGATTTGATTCTATAATTAAATTTAGACTCGATGATTTCACTTACTAAATACTCGAAAATTCTGCCAAACCGTGCCGAAACATGTCTAGTCCTAACATGTCAAATAGATGTTTGTCTCCCAAGATACAACGTTTTTTTCCAAAAATTAATATAACACAATATTAATTTTGTTGGGCGAACCAAAACTTGAATGTAATCTTTTAAAACGGAAGATATCAAATACTAAGCCCTGTTTGGTGAAAATTAAAATTTAGCTTTTAATTTAAATCAAAGTCAATAATTAATTTTAATCATATATTTCATGGGATTCACGACTTTTTCGTTTCATCAACTTTTATCAAAATTTACTAAAAATTTTATTTTAATCCCCTACCAAACATGAGCTAAATATCGAACACGAAACTCAATAATGATTTGAAAATTATTTGACATATTTTGGAGGAAATAATTAGAAATATTGATTTGAAGTACTATTTATGAATTTTAATGTGTTTCTTTCTAATGATCATATCTTTTGGCAAAAAAATCATTTAAATCGTTCGATCGTTACTTTTCAGATTGGGTCATGATCTGTTTAGGGTGGTCCCGTTTGTAGG